AAGCTGAAACCAAACTGGCAGAAACGCCAGGGACAATTCTGTTTTCCCAAAAAAGCTCCGCTCTTTGGGTGTAAAAACCTATAAAATGTGTTTTTTCTTGTTTTTCTTGTTTTTCTGCTGACAGGGCCTCCCAGGCTGCTCCTGAATGAGTGACACCTTTGCAGCCCTGGGCCAGGTGTGATCCCGAGCTCACCTGTGGCTGTGCAGGGCAAACAGGATTTCCTCCCACACAAATCCCTGTGGCTTTGCTGTTCCTGAGTGTTCCCCAGCAGGGTTTAAGAGCTGTGCAACATCTCTGGATCCTCAGTGGGGGGAGTCTTCTGGGGAGGGATGGACGGGCTGGGTGTCCCAGCAATCTGAGACAGGAAGGAGGAAATGAAGGATTTTCCTCCCTTCCTGCCATCCAGACAGATTTGGGCAGCTCTCAGCATCCCCTCAGAGCAGGGCAGGGTAAGAGGGCGTCCTGCCCCAGCAGTGGAGGTTTCTCCTTGTGGAAAATCCAGGAGAATTAACATTAGAACCTCGTGCCTGATGTTAAAGGGACGCTCATGCCACACTTGCTGTGTCCCTGGAGGTCTCGTCTGGGAATTAAAAGTTTGAATTGGCCGATAAATAGTGATTCATTCTCAAAAAAAAGCCAAACAAATCATACTTTCCTTAATTAAACTCTTGGAGTTTTTGGTTAATATCTGGCTCCATGGTCCATCTCCAATTCATCCTTTCTTGTCTAGCTAGTTTTAATAACTGCAACACCCTCAGCTGTTGTTTTGTTTAGGTAATAGAGAACAATTCAGCCTGAAGAAAATTAATTTTCCTGTTTCACGTGGTTTTGGGTTTCTTTTTTTTTTCCTTTTTTTTTTTTGTTTCTTGTGGTTTTTCAAATGAATTCTAGAAAATAGCAATGAAAATATGGGAGGGAAGTCTGAAGTAAACATTGATTTTTACAGTGCAATAATTTATGGTACCAACTTAATAAGTGGTGTGACACGAGCAGCTCACCCCCCATTTATCATGCATTGATAGTTTGATTCCAGAACTTTTAACACCACTGCTCTCTGTGACATAATAAAGGACCTGCCAACTTTCCCATTAGAACCACGAGACTTTAGGAGTTCTGCTTCAGCTATAAATATCAGTATTTGGAATCTGTGAATTATTTTGCAGAGTAACAACCTCAGAATGACGTGTTCCAGCAACTAGGAAGAAATAAGACCTTGACATTTTTGAACATCAGGAGGACATCTCCTCCGTTCCAGAAGAAAAGGCTCAGGGGTGCTTTTCCTTATGCCCACCATGCAAAGTTAACCAACTCAGAGACAGCTCCTGAGCTCAGATCAGTCACTTGAGTTCCAAGATGACAAGGAGGAGGCAGCAATTTCCATTCTGAGGTTCTGATCGGGGCTGTCTGCAGTGGAGCTGGCTGGGCTGCAGCTGATCCCACCCTGCAGGAGCTGGGCAGGGGCTCAGGCAGGGCAGGGACAGCAAGAGAGGCTGACTCCAGCTCAAGGACTCCCCAGAAAACACCACCAAGCCCAGCAATTGAATAAAAATAGAATTTAGCTCACCAATTCACTTATTTTTCACTTATTTTTCATTGTTTTCCCATTAAAACAGTTTGTTTCCATGGAAATTCCTAAGGCAGAAGATGCACTCGTGCCCCAGGTGCCTCCTGAGGTGAGGCTGTGCTGCTTCCTGGGCTCCTCTTTGTGTTTGTGGCACAAACACTCCCAAGAGAGAGGGGACATTCCTGGAAACCCACCCTGCTTCAGGGGGAACTCTGTACCTGAAAGGCTTTGCAGCTCCTCAGCCTGGAGCCCTGTCCTCCTGTCCGTCCTTCTGGAAAATCCAGAAATTCCCCTCACGACCCAGGGCTCAAACAGCTCCACCTTCCAGGTTTGTTGGTTCAGGAACTCCTAAAAAAAAAAAAAGATATAACGGGATAACAATGAAAAATAAGTGAAAAATAAGTGAACTGGTGAACTAAATCCTATTTACACACCCAGTGTCTAAAGAACTGCAATAAAAAGGGTGTGTGACTATGTTTGTCTTAGCTTGGGTTGTAGGGATTTGATGCACATTCTGTAAGTTGTTAAATAATTTTGTTGGGGCATTTGATCTCCAGGTTGGTACTTTATTCCCACAGATCACTTGGAAACAGGAAAGGCACCTATGGAATTGGAAAACAATTTATAGTTTGTTGTTTTTTGCAGTAACTAGCTCATTTGAAACCCCATTTTTAGCAAGAAATAATGACTTGCTTTATTTAGAGACTATTTTAAATGCTCTCGAGGTATCTACTGAATATCTTGACATCACAGATAAATCAGGAGCAGACTCAAAATTAGCCCTGCACTGTTCTATATTACAGTATGTTCTATATTACAGTATGTTCTATATTACAGTTCCATTATGCAGCCCTTGTACAATGCACTCGGAGATGGGAGAAGAGACAGGGTTTGTTCTCAGAGCTGTTTGTGACACCGAGGGGCCTCACCCTGACCAGGTGCCGGGTTTGGCCCTGAGGCTCCGGGCTGGGTTTTGGGGGGCTGTGAGCAGCCCCAGGTGCTGGCCTGGCTGGTGATTTCTGGGGTGCTGCTCTCCATGCATTCCTGGCACATCCAAAAGCGGCCAGCAGAGAGGTGGGGGCTCACCTGAAGGTTCAGGTAGTTAAACTGGCCTAATTCCTGTCCGGAATAATCAGGATAAAACCTGCACTATTCCAAGATGGAAAACTGGGCAGCAGGGGCTGGGGTCAGAGCTGCTCCAGGGGATGCCCCTGTGACCTGGGGCTGCTGCAGGGACAGGATTTGCACTGTGATGTCAGAACTGCTGAGCTGCTTCCTTCCTTAATTAAAACATGCATCATTAACAGTTAACTTCGTGCCTTCCCAAACTTGGCAGGTCCTTACTGGGATGGATGAGGTCCTTAATGGGACGAACAGGAGCTTTCCATCAAAAGCAGCCTCTGCTTCAGCTGTCTCTGGTCCCTTTTCCTGCTCGTGATCCCTCATCTCCTGCAGGCTCTGGTGACACTGCTCAGCCCAGAGGACCCCACAGCCTTTGGGGTGGCAGGAACTTTGCAGGGCGTGTGTTCTGCCCCCATTAGCACAGGAGGAGCATTCCCTGAGCTCTCCCGGGGCACTGCTCATCCCGGCGGGTTCTCCTCCCGAGCAGTTGTGTTTCCAGCTGGAGGAAGCAGCTCCTGCCCGTGAGCAGCTCTGGGGTCCCCCCAGCCCCAGTGCCCCCGGCTGGCTCGGGCAGGGATGCTCCAGCCCCGGCACACGGCAGCCTCTGCCCGCATTAACCCCGCCACTCACCCCGGGTATTTCCTCTCCTTTGCCCCTGGACCTTCTTGTTCAGGAAAACATAGAATAATAATAATAATAATAATAATAACAAAGGAGCATTTGGAGCGATTTCGTTAGAAATCCATCAGACTGTCAGACAGTCTGGTGGCATCAATAATTCCCTATTAAGCCCTCTACACCCATTATGGTTTGTGCTTTTCCTCTTTTTTTTCTCGAAGTTAGTTTCCAGGCAACCAGTAAGAACTGAATTGCATTAAGCTATTAATTCAGCCTTGCACGCCAGCTCCAGCTCCTGCAGCCCAGCTCTGCCTCTGCTGTACAAGGTTTCCTCCTAAAACCCCTTTTATTGGTTTAATCCCCGGCGGGGCCCAGCCCAGAGCTCTGGGGTGGGAATGGCAGGGTGTGGGCTGGGGTTTGGGCTGGTTTGGGTTCCAGTCTGGCTGCTGGGGGGTGGTTTGGAGCAGAGCTTTGGGGAAGGTTGGTTTGGTCACCAGAAAATGCACAGCGATCCCCTGGCGTGTTCTTCATCCCCACATCAGATGTGGCCCCAGTATGTCTGCATCAAGAAGATTTTTGGTGATGTGAGGGTGGTGGGATTGGTGATTTGAGGGTGGGCAGCTCTGGCACAGCTGGGGCTGCCCCTGGACCCCTGGCAGTGTCCCAGGCCAGGCTGGACAGGGCTGGAGCAGCCTGGGACAGTGGGAGGTGTCCCTGGCATGGCAGGGTGGGATGGGATGAGCAGAAGCAGAGTCTCATTACTGTAATTTGCACTTTGAACACAGGCAGATGTTGTGTCAGAGATCCCTTCCTTTCAGGGGAGCACATGGATTTAAGAACGTGACTTATTAATGAATCCTGGTATGGGCAGTGCCTGTGCATCAATAATGGAACAGGGAAGAAGCAGCAGTAATGAGATGGAACCACCCCGAGCATGACATGAAAATCTTTGCCGAAGCTAAAAAGGAGTAATTTGGGTGTTGTGCTGCAGAGTTAATGAATGTAGTGCTGGAGAAAGGAACTGCACTGGCAGCTTGGCAATGAACTTCCCTGCTCGCTCCCTGCAGCAGGGCAGGGAGGCTGAGCCCCTCATTTTCCTTCCAGGCTCAGCTCAGAGGAAGCTGTAGAAGTGGGATGGAGATCTGGGCTGAAATCAGCTGTGGCTGATAATTACAATTCTGAGATGTGAAATCCAGCCTGGACTGAGCTGTGCTGTGTCTCAGGAGTCAGAAAGGTCACTCACCATTCCCCAGGCTGTGTTAGAATTTACAATGTGTTGTACATACACCTGTATGTATTATTTTGTTCTGTTTTGGGGAAAGGTCCTTCCCCCAGAGGGTGCTGGCACTGCCTGGGGAATGGGCACAGCCCCAGAGCTCCAGGAGCCTTTGGACAGCGCTCCAGGGATGCCCAGGGCGGGATTTGGGGTGCCTGGGCTGGGGGATCCTGCTGGGTCCCCCCAGCTCAGAGCATTCCATGATATTCCCCAGGTCACCTCAGAGATCTCCTCCATGCAGACCCTTGGATGAGCTTTGTCTCAGGCTTTGAGCTGCGCTCAGTGACTTGTGGGAGTCACCGGAGAAGCTCTGATGGGGATTTCTGGTCAGACCACAATTAGAAAAATCAATCTCAAGTAAAAGAATTTGTCTTTATCCACTGCCAAAAAACCAACAAAAAAATTATAATGAATAAATGTAACACTAAAAAAAAAAACCTGAAAGTGAAGCACCAAAATAAAGCCATTTCAGATCAAGCTACCATGGCTTTTGTAGAATAGTTGACCTGGGATAGAATTTTAAAAATTGATTTTAAAAAAAACTATTAAGAAAATAAACTACATTTCTGAGCTCTTTCCAATTTCTGTCATTAGAGATCTATGACATAAGTCTGAATCACAGAGGTGACAAATTCCAGGCCCCAAAAGGAAACCATATCTTCATCAAACTCCACTGGAGAAACAAAATTAACGAAGGTCTGCTGATTATCAGCACATCATAAAGGCTCTTCTCTGCAGCAGCCATAAGAACCTGGATGGGTAAGAAGGGTTTCCATGCCATGCTGGATGCTCAGATTTTTGGGACAATTCCAACATATCTGGGACAGGGAGGTGCCATCCTTGGGGGCTGTGGCTCCATCAGCAGATCCAGAGCACCCCTGTGGTCAAGATGCTGAATCTAATCACGTTCTCCATTTCTGGGCCATATTTTATTAAACATTTTCATCACTTTGAACTGCGCATTCCTGCCTCCCCAGATTTATATCTGTAATTAGGGGATCGTTATTTACCAGCTGGTACAAAGACACCTTTCAGCAACATCATTCAAATGTCAGGAGTTACTGCCAGTTCCAGATGAATAGTACACTTATTTCTTTGGCTACAGGTCAGGAACGTGGCTGCTGTCAGGAACCTTTGGAAACTGTTCAGAAATGCTGGGAAACAACTATTTGTTGAAGAAAACCAGTTATTTGTGAAGGAAAGCGATCCTTCTCCCAGATCTAAGTTCGGTAATGAGTTGTTTTTATTTAACAAAGTCTCTAACAGATGGTGTTGCTAAATTTTGAATATTAGGGCTGGTTTTGCAAGAGGCCTCCACACAGGCTGATGGAACACAGGGGAGATTTCACATTTCAGCTCGAGCTCGGGGCTGATCCTGTGGTCACTCCTGGAGCTGGAGTGACCTCCCCATGTCTGCACCCACAGCACTGCCCCTGGAGGGGACCCTGGATGAGAATGCTCCAAAGAAAATGTATTTATTGTGTGTGCTCTGTAGGGGGAATCACAGAATGGGTTGGGTTGGGAGTGTCCCAAGGCAGGGACACCTCCCTGTGTCCCAGGTGCTGCCAGCCCCAGTGTTTAACCTGGCCCTGGGATCCAGGGGCATCCACAGCTGCTCTGGGAAGTCCCCTCCAGGGCCTCTCCACCCCACAGGGGATGGTCTCTGAGGATCTCAGTAATTTCTTGGTTATCTGAGATTATTTTGCAGTTGGTTTCTGGAAGGTCTGTGCTCAACACCACCTGTACAGTCAATTCTCTCATCCCACCAAAAATCCCATTAAATTGGGAAGCTGTGCTTGCCACACATCCCCATTTCCCGGGCAGTGAGAATCAGGCAGTGGTGCTGCCAACCAAGTCTGACCAGCATCCTTCTTGTTCCCTAGGGCTGAAATCCTGGAAACAACCACAGCCTCACCAAATGCAGCAGCACCGGTGTCAGCCCAGCACGGCCACTTCGCAGATGTCACCTCTCTGCTCCCCTGCCCGTGCTCCAGCAGGAAGTTTGGGCTGATGATGGTGAGACGCTGCCCACGCTTCTCCAAACCCAATTCTCACCCTGTTTTTGCTTGCTACCACTGCTCAAGCTCTTTGTTGTGCTTCTAGAAACGCTCTGTTCCTTTGGAAATGGGGGTCAGACCTCTGCTTGGTCTCATTCCTGCAAACCCTTCCAGTGTCAGAGGCATCCCTGGCTGTTCAGTCTTTCCAGGCACCCAGAACTCACCTGGACAAAACCTTCATCATTTAGATTATTTTCTCCATAAGCAACACGAGCCGGTGGGGTTTTTTCCAACGTGGGAATGCAGCTGATGGAAATGAAGGGTGACTGTGCACATGTAATTCAAGGGAGTAGCTTTGGGGAAACATCAACCAGGGGAAGGAGAAAAAGAAATTTGAATTCAATTGGATTTTAGTAACTTCAGCTTAGGTTTGAATCATATTTCCGTGCTTCTCTCTCTCTCCTCTGTTTGCAAGTTTTATTGCTACGGCTCTCGTGTCTGGGAGCGATGTGAATTAGTGGGTTTGTTATTGCTGAGAGGGAGAGGAACTGCAGCAGCAAGGAACGAGATGGTTCCCTGGAGTCCTGCGCAGGAAAAGTGTGGAAAACCTGGAGCCGAACCCAGATCCCAGGAGACACCCAATGGCCCCAGAAGGGATGGTGGGGTGGGCCAGCAGCTGCCAACAGGAAGCTCAAGTCGAGCTTTAAAACTCAATTAGCATGAGGGATGTGATGGAAACGGGGACATTTCGGGCAAAATCCTCCCTGCCTCGCACGGGGCCCAGGAGCTTTGCAGCTTTCCTGTTCTTGCTTCCAGCGGTGCCCAAATGTGAGAATTTTGTGCAGTTTCAGAGCGAGGATAAAAGTGAGAAATCATTTAACAGCCCGAGCTCCAGCGGGAGCGTCAGCAGGAGCTGGTTTGATGGAAGTGCCCCAAATTGAGGGTGGTTTCAGGGAGATTGTTTTTATTGTTGGCTGCAAGCTTTTGGTGAAAGCTTCTCTAAGTGAGTATTTTGGGATGAGGCAGAGACTCCTCGCAGGGTGAACCAAAGATGAAATTACAGGTCTTTAACAAGAGCTGCTCTCGTAAATGAAAAATATGATGTGGCACAGTAAAAATGAGACCGTTGTCCTGAAGTCTTTGGCTGTGTCCTTTAAAGTGTACTTTGGGGATTAATCAGCCAATGATTGTGTCACAGCAATTTGGCTCAAGTGGGTTTTTGCTTACATCGCAGCCTTAGATTACAGACTCACTGTCAATTAAATAATTTTAAATAATGCAGCTGTTAAACTTGCCTGGCGTGGCTCTTGGCTGCTTTGCTTCCTCACAGTCCTGCTCCTCCAGCCCAGCCACGTTCTCTGGAGGCCTCTCCTGCAGAAGAGAGGCTGCAGATTGTTCCTCTCCCTGTGAACACTCGGAATCCAGCCCCTCTCCATCTCCTCCAGGCCCTCACTCCCACTGGCTCTGGGCTCTGGAGCACTCCCAACACACAGCAAAAGGACCAGGAAAAGGCACTGACCAAAGAGAGACCCAACGGAGGAGCTGGAATGAGTCTGCTTCCCTCAGGGAATGCACTAATTGTCATTTTTTTCCTTCTTATTTTTCAGACTGTGTTCACAGAATCACAGCATGATCGCAGTTGAAAAAGACCTCCAGGAACATCGAGTCCAACCTTAAATGTTCCTTAGATTTGAACAAATCCACGATTTCACTAGTATAGAAATGGAAAATTAACTCTAGAACACTCCAATATAAAGAGTTCCAGCCTAGTTCTGGTGAGGTTTAAGCAGACATTTCAAGTAATTCATGTTTGGAATGCCTTTATAACTTTTGCCTCATAAAAACAGAAAAGGACTTAAAGTAATGGTAAAAATTCCCATTTAGGAAGGGAAGATTCTCCTTCTTGGCAGTGAGGAAAAGGGAAACTTGCTGTGTTTGAAGAGGATTGTCAGTGGTTACTTTGATTTCCAACATTAACTCAGCACATCTCAATCCAGCCCGCTCCCAGGCGTTGCTCCGGTGGGAAGTTGGTGATTTATGGGGTGGAATTTGAATTCCATGTCTTGTTTAGGAGCACTAAAAGCTCCTGCCCACTCCTGTGGCTCCCCAGGGCCAAGGCTGGGCAGGCTGTGCCCTCTGGAAGCGCTGGGGCTGCCTCAGGTAACCCCTGCTGCTGAGCCACCGGCTGCAAATGGAAAAACAGAACACAGGAGGGCTTCTTCCTCCCTAAGTGCTCTCATGGGGCTGCCTGTCTTTTACTTCTTCCTCTCTTCTCCAAAATGCCTTTTTTTTTTTATTTTTTTCCCCCTCAAAGAGCATGAAAAGGAAAATTGCTAATGAGTCAAACCACCAGAAAAATCAGGGGATGTCTTGAGGACATGGATTTTTCTCTGTGGCTGTGGCAGAGCTGGAGCCCACTCAGTCTCCAGCACAGCCACCCTAATTAAATTAACTGTCTGCAATTAACACACAGCCCAGCATCACTCCTCTAATTCATCTTCTGGTTCTCCAAACTGAACTGCTTTTAATAAAAACCTTATAAAAAGCAATTTTATTCTTGTCTACTCACACCAACCCTGAGCCACCACTGGTGTGTCTTAAATATTCAGTTTGATTTAGGCAGAGTTGGACCCTGAGCTAATGGAGGAGCCAGAGTGGGAATATGAGACACCTTCTAAACTTAGAGAGAATGCAGAGCACCATCAAGGTGGGTAATTAAAGAGGAAGGAGAGAAACTCTCCAAGTTTAATACAAAAATAAATGATGGGTTTAGCACTGCTGCATGAACATCGCATTTCCCAGTAGTAAAAGCTTGTGTGTATCTGGGTCAAGAGAAAAAAAAGCTGCTAAAATTAAGAAACACTTCTAAGTTTTGGGTTATTAGAAGTGAGAGAGGTTCAGTGAGAAATTCTGGATTGTCAGTGGTGCAAATGAGGTTTTCCTGACAGGCGGGTGAGTTTCTGTTTGACTTTTTCTTTAAATATTTGCAAGAAAATTAAGGGCAGCGCTTTGGCTCTGCAAATATTGACATCAGGTTTTCCCCTTTCATTAGCAGGACCAATATTTGCTGAACTGAACCCGTGACCCCCAGGGCAATGCCCAGAGAGATGGGCCAGGGATCCTCCATGCCCTGAGGGGTCGACTGGGGGGAGCAGGAGCTCAGCACTGGCTGCTTTTAGCAGAACTAAATGGGGAAATCCTTTCATTCTGGGCTTTTTCTGTTAAAATGCACCAATGTTTGAGTGAGAGATGTGCTTTTCACCCACAGATCTCCTGCCTGTAGCTTTCTGGCTGACATGGGGCTTGTTTCTTCTCCTTTCTGCCGCTGCTTTGGTGCTTCCAAGGGCTCGTGTTGCTTTTGCTGTGCCAGTCTGGTGCTGTGCCCCTTGCTGGTGTTCCCCTCAGCTTTATATTTGGAATTTGATATCTATGGAAATCTGTGGAAATCCTTTGAATTTTTGCAAGCCCTAATTGAAATGACAGGTAATTAATTCTCCACTGTGCCCCAGCTTCCTGAGGTGCTGCGTGTGCCTCTGAGGGATGTTCCTCCCTTCGAAACTCCAGATCCCTGAGGAAACCCTGCACCTGCATTTGAGGGTTGGATTTGGTCGGTCTGGGAGCTGAAAATTCCCCATTAGCACCTGCCAATAGACTGCATGAGTCACAGCCTGGCTTTTCCAAGAAATTCCATCTTTCCCACCTGCTGGAAAGCAGGGAGAACAATACAGAGTGATTTTCAAAAGCCCCTGCACGGGCCAGTTCCCTTGGTTTGGAATGGTTCTCTGTGATTTATTAGTCAGAAATTCCATCATATTTTGTACCATCCTTCACAAATCTCAGCTCCAATTTTTCCCCTTCTCGAAGCTGTCTTGTGAATAACAAACCCCACATTGTTCTTGTGTGTGTTCTTCTGAATTTATTTCATGTCATCTTACAGGAAAGGAAAAAAAAAAGATGCAGCTCCTCTCACTTAGCCCCTTTGGGACAGCAGCCACAGATGAAGAGCGAGCAATCAACATGTCAGGATAAAATTAGATTGCCACGGAGTACAAGGTTTGATCCTATATCTGTATCAGATTTGGGCTTCAGCTCTGCATATCACAATGAAGCAGTCCTTGCTGAAGGTGCTGGGCCCAAAGCAGCTCCTGTCACACCTGGGAGAAGCTGGGAAAGGCAGGAATGTCCCGCTGTGCATTATTGCTGGTATTTAATTGTGGTTCTGAGGAGGGGTGGCTGCAGGCAGGGCAGGGACGGAGCCAGGCTGGAGCCAGCACCAGGAGCTGGGGGAGCATCTCCTGCACAAATCCCCCAGATCCCCTTCCCATGCCCTGCTTTGCGCCGGGCTGTCCTTTGGAAGTGAGGAAAATGCATTTGTGGTGAATAACTGAGATGGGAGATGGGTCTGGCAGCATCCCTAACACAGTCCATGGATCCAGCCCAAAGCAGAGCCCAGGGCTGTGCCCAGCTGGGTTGGGCTGGGTTTGGTTTGGTTCAGCTGGGCTGGGCTGGGCCGGGCCGGGCCGGGCTGGACTGGGTTTGGTTTGGTTTGGTTTGGTTTGGTTTGGTTTGGTTTGGTTTGGTTTGGTTTGGTTTGGTTTGGTTTGGTTTGGTTTGGTTTGGTTTGGTTTGGTTTGGTTTGGTTTGGTTCAGCTGGGCTGGGCTGGGTTGGGCTGGACTGGGCCGGGCTGAGCCGAGCTGGGCTGGACCGGGCTGGGCTGAGCTGGGCTGGGCTGGGCTGGGCTGGGCCAGGCCAGGCTGGGTTTGATTTGGTTCGGCTGGGCTGGGCTGGGCCGAGCTGAGCTGGGCTGGGCCGAGCTGAGCTGAGCTGAGCTGAGCTGAGCTGAGCTGAGCTGAGCTGAGCTGAGCTGAGCTGAGCTGAGCCGAGCTGAGCTGAGCTCAGCTGAGCCGAGCTGAGCTGGGCTGAGCTGAGTGATGCAGCGTGGCACAGCAGGACCCAGAGCTGGCTTCCCCAGGGATGAACACCAGCATCCAGAGGCCCGCCAGGTGAGCGCTGAGAAAGGTGAACCCAGGGGAAAATTCATTTCATGGAGGATGATAGGGCATGAAAGAAAGCCATGGGTAAGGACCAGAAAATGGGGAAAGGGCAGGATTGCCTGATAGTCAGTCTATCAGAGCAAGAGAATAAAGGTAAAAATCTATACGCTGAGCCCACAGCAACAGAAAGGAGCTGTTAGCATTACCTGGGGAGAGCAGGCTGTCGATGTTTTCTGCCTGAGTTTGCTGTTGCTGTACACTGGCTAAAGCCTTGCACAGACCAGGCTTGCTACAAAATGAATGAAGAAGGGCACTAAGGGAATAAATAAAAGAGATGAGGAAAAGATCTCTACTTGTACAAAATGTGCACAGCCATGAAGAGCCCTTAAAGAAAGAAAGTTAAAACTTCATTTACAAAGAGCTCTCCTGACTTGTGTCATAAAATGTTCCAAAACAATCTCATGACTCAATTCCTGCAGCCATTGAAGTAGGAAGAATTACATAAGATCTTTGCTGTTTGCTTTATTTCATGCTTAACTCATATTCTCAATGATTCATTATCAGGATTTGTCAGGACTAATTAGCAGAGTGCCAGCTGTGGTAGGATTGGGTCCCACGGCACCTTCCGGTGGGGACTCCCCTGGATCACTCTCCTGGAGAATTGGGGAACAGCAGCCAGTGGCCATGCTTTGGGCTAACTGGGCTGGGCTGGTCCAAAAGGGGATGTATTTGGTGCCTGAATAAATGGAGTTTTCTGTAACTCTATTACAGCAAACAACAAAATCTGTGAAGTTCCCAGGATGTTTCTTTTCTCTGCTAAAGTGATCTCTCTTCAGTTCAGCAAAAACCATTAAATTCCCAAAGGACACAGCTGGAAATCAGGAAGGTGTGGGTGTGAAGATGTGGGGTGTGGAAGGTGTCCCTGCTGTGGCACAGGCTTTGGGGCTGGATGCTCCCTAAGGGCCCTTCCTCCCAAACCAGGCTGGGCTTCCTCGCCTCTGTGGCTCCAGACTTTTCCTGCTGCTGTGAAATGAGCACTGGGCTCCTGTGGAAGCAGTTTCCAAACAAAGCCTTCCTGACCTGCATTTATACAGCCAAAGTCATCCCTCAGAGAGCTCTGTGCTGTTCTGCTATTAAAAACAGAGTCATTAAGAGTAATTAACTTCTGGGCAGCAACAGCAGAATGTCCAGGACCCGTTTCCAGGGATGTGGGTGCGGTGGCACTGCGGAGCTGCAGCTCTGCCCACCCCGGGGTGCCCTGGGCAGTGGGGCAGGCACAGAGCAGTCCCAGCGTGGTGCTGGCAGCGCTGGGCTCTGAGGACTGGGGCTGCTCCAGGGCTGCAGGAGGAGGATGCCTGTGAGGTGATACACGGAATAAATAACCAGACTCCAGGAGCTGGGGTAGCTCTGGAGTGGGTGTGTATTGTCAGTGCTTGGCACAGGTGAGATATCTCCCCAAAAACTTGTGCCCCGAGCCTGGTCTGACCCACACCTTTATTCCCAAGGTGTTCCATGTGCAGCACATTGCACAACTTTCCCTGCATGTCCAACCCTGGCCTGGCCTGGCCTCTCGTGCTGAACAGCTCCAGCCCTTCTGGGCACGCCTGGTTTGCTGTGGTGGTCCTGAGGGGGTCCCTGGTGGTCTCTTGGGGCTGAAGATCGTGGTCTTCCTCATGGTTGAACTTTTGAAATTTTCCTCTTTGTGCACTTTTGGTCCTCTGGTGCTTATCTGAGCACGTCTGCCAGTCTCGATGGGCTTGGACACACAGCAGCCTCTGTATCTGGGTTCTTTGCCTCCTCTGGTATTGTTCTTTGTGCAAGAAGCTTCAGTAACTTGCATTTTCCTATGCCCTTTGTACCACGGCAGAGGTTTCTTAAGTAAAAGGTTAAAATTCAACACATAACTCTACAAGCTAGAATTTAAATGCTTAATTTATTTTGTGAATTTAAGTGAACCCCAAAAATCTTTGTTTCACCCAGAGCTTCACAAGGGTGAGCTGTGTGTCCGTCTCCCCTGAAGGGAGTGCCATGCCCTAGCCAGGGGCTGGGACAGAAGTCACTGGTTAAAGGTGTTTTTCAGAAATATATAAAGCATTTTTTGTCAGCGTTCTTTGGGGGAAAAAAATCTATCAAGTATTTTTAAAGTGTTTTGCTTAAAATTTGGCGAAGCTGTAAAGGACAGAAAAAGGGGCAATGATGGCAGGGAGGGAAAAGCCTCTCAAGAGCATCCTGAGTGATTCCATCAGCTTTAATGCCACTTTGTCCCTTGGAAAAGTCCAGGCAGCACAGCCAGAAGGGGAGGAGGAGACCTGCCTGAGCTGGCTGGGTCCCTTCATTGTCTGACATTACAACACTATTATTATTTGGAGAAAGCTGTCTTATTTAATTATCCTGAATGTGCAATTCCATCATCTCTAATTCAGCACTGGAGGAAGATGTTCCAAGCATTAAGCGAATCAAAATATTCTTCGTAAATAAGTAACTGAGAGAATAATAAGTGTTTGGAAAGAAGAAGTTATTGTTCCCTGTGACTGGCAGCGAGTTTAATGATTTGGCTGAAGTGCCCATCTAATAGAGCTGCCTGCTTGGAAGATTTGTGATCTCCAAGGAGTGCTCGGAAGGTGTCTCCTGTGTGATGGATGCATTCCTCTGGAAGGCCTGGATGGCTTCAGAGCCCGGGTGGGGATGGATGGGGATGGATGGGGATGGTGGGGATGGATGGGGATGGTGGGGATGGATGGGGATGGATGAGGATGATGGGGATGGATGGGGATGATGGGGCTGCAGGGGTGGCAGCTCCCCAAGGGCTCTGGGAAATGCCACCACTCTCCTGTCCCCAAGGCAGTGGTGTGGAGGGACCTGAGATCCTGGCCAGAAGGGGCAATTGCTGCCAGAGCACCCAAAACCTCCTGGGAAGCGCAGGGCCTTCCTCCCCTGTCCTTCTGCTCCTTCCTGGGGTGGGAATGGTGGCACCTGATCCCTGCTCCAGGACTCTTTAACCACTCTTTAACCTCTGTGTGCTGCACAGTCACAAACCCATCGAGATCCACCTTCAGATCATCCATCCAGTGGTGAACATGGCACTGCCAGGTCCAGCCTGGATGTCACCAGCTTGGCCTCAGCTCATGGCCAAGGGCTCCTCCTTCTCCTTCTCCTTCTCCTTCTCCTTCTCCTTCTCCTTCTCCTTCTCCTTCTCCTTCTCCTTCTCCTTCTCCTTCTCCTTCTCCTTCTCCTTCTCCTTCTCCTTCTCCTTCTCCTTCTCCTTCTCCTTCTCCTTCTCCTTCTCCTTCTCCTTCTCCTTCTCCTTCTCCTCCTCCTCCTCCTGCTCCTCCTCCTCCTCCTCCTCCTGCTGCTCCCCCAAGCAGTGGCAGCCGCCAGGGCACAGGAGGCAGCCCGGGAGGTGCCTGCAAATGGCAAATAACTCAGTGTGTGATGCTGAGGGCCCCTGAGAGCATCAAAGGAAGGGAAATGCTTCTCCCCACGGGATGGCTGAGGTTGGCTCTCAGAGCTGCTTTGCTTTTCCACAGGGTCACAGCAGTGCTGCAACAGAGAATTAGGCCCAGATACTTCATTGAGCACAATGTGTTCATTGCAGTTTTTTCTTGGAAATAATCCATAATGTCTTGTAGATTTAATAACTTCATATATTTTATAAATTACAATCTATTTATAATTTTAATATATTTAAATATTTTATAATTCAATAAGCTACAATTGTAAAAGTAATGTTTTGCTTACATAAATAAGGATCTAGCAAGGTATCTAAGCGACCATATCCTTGAGGAGAATTTGCTGTCCCCTGTCCTCCCTGGAAACCAGAGCATCACTGACACCTTCTCTTTGTAAACAGCAACAACAAAGCCCCGAGTTAAGAATCTGAGCTTTTCGCTGGCCTCTGCTCCAAAAATCCATTATTTTCTGAACAGCAGATAAGCAGGAGCTCTGGCTGCTTTCCCAAGCCTGACTTCACCCAACAAATTAATTGCTTGTACCACGTCCATTACAGTTGTCCAAGCTGACCTCTGCCTGCACGGCAGCCTCTGCCACATCCCCAATATCTGAAAGATTGTTTTATTCCTCCTTCCTGCTGCTCCATCACTCTTTGGCTGCTTCCACTGGTTGGCTGGAACAGGATTTTGTGTCTGCTCTGCCAGCTGCCCAGATGAAGGCAATGTTTAATTATTCAGCAGCTCTGACAGTAGATCCTCCTGTGATGGAGATCACACCACACCCTCAAGGGTGCCAGCCATGAGCCCCTTCCTTTCTGGCACAGTCTTTGCTTATCCAGTAGAAATTTGGCTGAGTGTTATTTGACAGGCAAGTTAGGAAATGATTTTGAATATTCTCTTGGATGTGTTTAACTGGTGTTTACTTCTAAACAACTTCTCTTGCTAAAAAGATCAGGCTAGGGTTGGGTTTGTTTGCTGGGGTTGGTTTATTTTTCTAGGGAATTTTTGGTTTGCTCTGTGTTTTTGGGTTTTTGTTTTTGGTGAAGCAAACCTCCCCGGGGGGAGAGGGAGTGTCCCCAGCCCTGCACAGCCTCAGGCAGCGGGAGGGTGCTGTGGGTGGCTCTGGGTGCCTGGGCCTCTGTGGGGCAGTTCCAGGGCATCAAACCCCGGTGCTGAGCTCCTGGTGTGTCATCCTCGGGGGGAGAGAAGCAGAACTGCCCCAGCCTGTGCAGAGGTGAGGCCAGAGCTCCAAGGCTGAAGTACAGAATGAGTTCAGAGTCTGGGAGCTCAGAGCTGGGCTGGGCACACGAGTGCCTCACGGTGCAGTGGAACACAAACTCACACTGCAATGCTTTCCCCCATTTCCATGTGCTCCTGTCAGTGTCCCATCAAAGACAAAGTGCTGCTTTCCTGCAGCAGCCTCCCCTCCTGAGCCCAGCAGCATTACCTGCTGCTTTCCTGGGAGTGAGCCTACCAGGAAACACTCATGGCTCTGAGAGGGGCAATGGCATGACTCAGTTCTCCCCAGGAACTGCTGCTTGAAGGCTGAGCTTGGCTCTGAGTGCTGAATGCTCTGAGTGCTGAATGCTCTGAGTGAGGCTCTGAGTGCTGAATGCTCTGAGTGCTGAATGCTCTGAGGCTGAGTGCTGAATGCTCTGAGTGAGGCTCTGAGTGAGGCTCTGAGTGAGGCTCTGAGTGCTGAATGCTCTGGGTGCTGAATGCTGAGTGCTGAATGCTCTGAGTGAGGCCCTGAGTGCTGAATGCTCTGAGTGAGGCTCTGAGTGTGGCTCCAAGTGCAGAATTCTCTGAGTGCAGAATGCTCTGGGTGCTGACTGCTCTGGGTGCTGAATGCTCTGGGTGCTGAATTCTGACTGTGGCACTGGGTGCTGAATTCTCTGGGTGCTGAGTTCTCTGGGTGCTGAGTTCTCTGGGTGCTGAATGCTGAGTGCTGAATACTCTGGGTGCTGAATGCTGAGTGTGGCTCTGGGTGCTGAGTTCTCTGAGTGCAGAATGCTCTGAGTGAGGCTCTGGGTGCTGAATGCTGACTGTGGCTCTGACTGTGGCTCTGACTGTGGCTCCGGGTGCTGAGCTCTCAGTGCCACATGCTCCCAGTGGCTCTCAGCGGGCTGGCAGCGAGGGCAGGGATCCTTTAGGGGCAGGGGACAGGGGACAGGGGCTGTTGCTCAGCACAGGTGTGACACACGCCTGGCTGGGTTTAGTCAGCGCTGCCTCACCCAGGTGCTCAGCAGGGCCAGCACAGTCACAGATGATGGAATCGCTGTGCTTGGAAAAGGCCGCTCAGATCATCGGGGCTGATATTTCTCCCGAGGAAAACACAGCAGTGAGAGATGAGCAGGCTGCTATTATATTTAGTTTCCTGGCTGAGAGGGCCAGATTGGGTGTAGGTAGCTCAGAGCACAGAGGGGATGGGGCTCAGGTACAATGAGAAGGAGAAGTACTGCCGGTTTGAAGAGTTCAGGAAACTGAAAACTGATCAACAGGATTTCTCAGGAGATGTCCAGTGGTGCTGGTCAGCACAGCATCAAGTACTCAGCGAGAGTGGGAGAGGGACTGGGCACTTCCATGGATATCAGGAGTATCCAGAGGAATGATTACTGCATCCATTTTTGTAATGTAATTACAATAACCTTTCATGCTTCAGGGGTTAAACCAATAGAATCAGCAAGAAAATAAAGATACCTGCATACTGTAAGACTCTGTCCTTTCCTTCTGGCACATCTGCTGCTAATCCAAGATGAGCTACAGGGCTGGGCAGGTCCCTGGGTCTGCCTTGACCAGCTGTGGTGGGCCCTGTGCTCCTTAGGGAATCTGGACATTCATTCTTTAGGTAAACCAGGCTGTGAGGAAGAGGAGGACGAAGTGGAGAGCAGATGGGTTTTCTGTGACTGTGAGAGGACAGAAGTTTATGTGATTATATATGAATAACTGACAATTTGCCCAAAGGGGAAAAAAACAGTGGAAGCTTTCAAAATCGTGAGGTGACTTCCAGCAAAACAAAATTCTAGGGATTTCCTAGAAGATGTGATTTAGCTCCACATCCTTCCTGAACTGGAGCACTTGAGGCAAACTTGAGGCTCCAATCACAAGAGTCAGAATCTTTAATAATAACAATAATAATAAACAGAAGTAAGATTCTGGCTGAGGAGCTTTATGTGGGCAGGAGGAAAATAAGCACTAAAGAGCTCTGGAGATGGAAAAGGGGATGGAGCTGGTGGTAACAAGGGAGAACTGGGAAGGCAATCCCAGGAAATCCCAGTGTGCAGCAGGTGAATGATGTGAGGAGGTGGGATGTGTGCACAAGGGGTGGGGATGGGGGCTGGTTCAGCTCCACCCCGCTGGCAGAGACTGGCAGAGGGGTGGGAGTCTGACAGCACTACAGAAAATCTCTGAGGAACTGCGTGGTCCTTCAGGTCCCTTCCAACCCATTCTGTGGCTGGCAGTATAAAGGGAATCATCTTTTTAAATGTGTGGGTGATTTGAGGGAAGTGAGGCCCTGGCACAGGTGCCCAGAGCAGCTGTGGCTGCCCCTGGATCCCTGGCAGTGCCCAAGGCCAGACTGGGCACTGGGGCTGGAGCAGCTGGGACAGGGGGAGGTGTCCCTGCCATGGCAGGGGTGGAATGAGACAATCTTTAAGGTCCCTCCCAATGCAAACCACTCTGTGATCCTGCGGCTGGGCAGGTTCCTCCACAGGGGTTCTGCTGGTCCAGAGTGTGTTAGAGGCCAGTGGTGAACAGCCGCTACACCTGGTCTGGTATTTGGGAAAGAGGAATTAAAGGTTACCTCCAAAAAACGTGCTTGGTCTGGTGAGAACATCTGTGAGCTGCATTCTGCGTTAGCTGGAATTGGAAATACGCCAGGGTGTGGATTCGCTGGTCAGGAGGGAATGGCAACAGGTGGTGTCCCTTTGGGTGTCAGAGTTTGGGAGTAAAAGGAACAAAACCAGGATGTCCCAGCATCCTCGAGATCTGGGTGTGCAGCAGAAAAATGGGTCTGGAGATCTTAAAATAGAACGAGCTCAGCTGCATTACTTCGGGTTTGGGAGTACGGGGTTACATCCAAACTCCTCCTCCTCCTCCTCACCCTCCATGGGTGCCCACCTCGGCGGGCGCGGGGTCTCGTTGCCATGGCACGGTCCGGATCGATGCTTTGGATGCTCTGGGCTGGCCGGGCGCTCCCGCTGTCCCCGGCTGTCCCCGGGCACTGCCGGGCCCCCGAGCGGGAGAGCGGGCGGAGGGGAGGAGGAGGAGGAGGAGGAGGAGGAGAAGGAGAAGGAGAAGGAGGAGGAGATGGAGGAGGAGGATGCTCCGGCGGGGCTGAGCGAGCATCCCCCACGCAGCGCCTTTGGCGGGCGCTCCCGAGCCCCGGCTGCGGGGAGAGAGAGCGGGGAGAAGGGAGAGAACGGGGAGAGGGGAGAGGGAACGGGGAGAGGGGAGAGGGAACGGGGAGAGGGGAGAGGGAACGGGGAGAGGGGAGAGGGAACGGGGAGAAGGGAGAGGGGAGAGGGAACGGGGAGGAAGGAGAGGGAACGGGGAGAAGGGAGAGGGGAGAGGGAACGGGGAGCGGGGAGAGGGGAGCGGCAGAGGGGAGAGGGAACGGGGAGAGGGGAGAGGGAACGGGGAGAAGGGAGAGGGAAGCGGGGAGCGGCAGAGGGGAGCGGGAGCGGGGCCGCCGCGGTGGCCCCGGTTCCCCCGTCCCCGGCAGCCCCCACGGCGGGCAGGGCCGGGACCCCGCGGCTCCATCCCGTGCCCAGGCGGTGCCCGTGGGGCAGGGCCGGTTAAAGCGGCTCCATCCCGTGCCAGGCGGTGCCCGTGGGGCAGGGCCGGTTAAAGCGGCTCCATCCCGTGCCCGGGCGGTGCCCGTGGGGCAGGGCCGGTTAAAGCGGCTCCATCCCGTGCCCAGGCGGTGCCCGAGCCCGGCGGAGGCCGGGGCGGAGCGGCGGGCGCTGCGCACGGCGGCGGGCGGAGCGGGGGGCGGGCGGCCCCGGCCCGTTAAAGCGGCAGCGGCGGCCGCGCTCCCCAGTGCCGCTGCCGGTGCCGGAGCGCGGCGGGCGGGGCAGGGCAGGGCAGGGCAGGGCGGCAGAACCGCAGCCCTCCCCCGGCCATCCCGGCCGGCCCGGCCCCCGGGGAGCGCGGGGCAGCGCCCGGGGCCGGCGGCATCACCATGGGCCGGCCGGGCAGGGTGCTGCGGCTGCTGGCGCTGCTGGAGCTGCCCTGCTGCCTGCTGGAGCTGCTGCTCGGCCAGGCGGCCCGCGGGCAGGAGATGTACGCGCCCCACTCCATCCGCCTGGAGGGGGACATCACCCTGGGCGGCCTCTTCCCCGTGCACGCCAAGGGCCCCCCGGGCTTCCCCTGCGGGGACATCAAGAAGGAGAACGGCATCCACAGGCTGGAGGCGATGCTCTACGCCCTGGACCAGATCAACAGCGACCCGGACCTGCTGCCCAACGTCACGCTGGGCGCCCGCATCCTGGACACTTGCTCCCGGGACACCTACGCGCTGGAGCAGTCCCTCACCTTCGTCCAGGCGCTCATCCAGAAGGACACCTCCGACGTGAGGTGCACCAACGGCGAGCCGCCCGTCTTCGTCAAGCCGGAGAAAGTAGTTGGAGTGATCGGGGCGTCGGGAAGTTCCGTGTCCATTATGGTGGCCAACATCCTCCGGCTGTTCCAGGTAGGGCCGTGCCGCGGGGCTCCGCCGCTCCCGGCTCCCCCTGTGCCTCTCCAGGTGCTCCATCCGCCTCCCTCCGGAGCAGCTGCTTCCCCTCCCCGCCGCCCTCTCCCTTCTCCACGGTGCGTGGCGCTTTCTGGATTTATCGCCCCATTTGCACGAAGCAATGCCTGAGGGAAAACAGGAAAAAAAAAAAAAAAAGAAGAAGGCAGAGAAGATGCGCTGGTTGCGCTGGGTTTGCGTTAGAGAGAGCCGCGGCTCGGCGGGGATGGATGCGGGCACACGGCATCATCCCCGCGGGGCACGGCCGGACCGCTCCGCGCTCGGATCCCGGCGGGGCTGGCGGGGCCGCGGCCGCCCCGGCACGGGGGTCGCGGGGGGAGGCCGGGAGATGGTCAGGAGGGGTTTTCTCGGGCTGAGCCGGGGCTGTGCGGCACCCAGAGCCTGCCCGGCTCCCTCCCGAGCCCGCCGGGGTGCGGGGGCACCGGGGGCGGCTCAGCCGGGGAGCGCCGCTCCGGCTCCGGGAGGAGCGAGGGATGAGCAGAGCCGGGGATTAGAGAGCCGTGAGTGTGTGAGTGTGTGTGTGAGTGTGTGTGTGCGGGTGCGGGGGAGATGCGCTGCAGCGCTGCCCGTTCTCCCCCTCCTCGCCTCTCCCCCGTTCTCGCTGCCATCGCGCCCGTCTCGCCCCCGGCGCCGCACCCCGGTGGGGGTCGGGCACGGACACTTGTCACCCCCGCTCGTCCTCCTGCCCCATGGCCGTGCCAGGCCACCTGTCCGGCTCTGATCCCCCCGGGGTGAGGGGGTGTCCCCCCGGGATGAGGGGGTGTCCCCCCGGGGGCTGGCATGTCCCCCCGGGGGCTGGCATGTCCCCCCGGGGCTGGGGTGTCCCCGCTGCAGCCTCCGGGCCCCGCAGCGAGCTCCGGGTGCTCCTCGGCAGCGATCGCGGGCGCGGTGACAGTGACAGAAGCGCCACCAGATGCATCGTGAGCAGCGGAGTTCTTCGCTCCCTGTCCTACGCCTTCGCATGCGGAAGGTGGTGGAGGGATTTTTTTTATTTTTTATTTTTTTTATTTCTGTGCAGCGGGCGGAGACATCCCCCGCGTTTCCCAGCTGGAAACTTGTGAGGCTTTCAGGGCGAATCCGTGCTCGGTGCTGTCAGCAGCCGCCGAGCCTCCCCGCTGCCATCTGCCAGCCGGTGCCAGCCCCGGCCGCTGCCAGCGGGGGATGCCGCCCTCGGCTGTGCCCTCGGTGTGCCCGGCCGGGCTGTGCCCTGGCCATTTCCCTGGCACGGCACCAGCGAGCTGTTCTTTGCCTTGCTCGCCTCCGCTCCTGGCAGATTCAAGCGCATGGCTGCGGATTCATGTGCTGAATCTCGCCCGGTGTGTGCCACCACCGTGCAGTGTGTGTGTGCAGTGTGTGTGCAGTGTGTGTGTGCCACTGTGTGTGTGCCATCACCGTGCAGTGTGTGTGTGTGTGCCATAACTGTGCAGCGTGTGTGTGCCATCACTGTGCAGTGTGTGTGCCACTGTGTGTGTCATCACCGTGCAGTGTGTGTGCACTGTGTGTGCCATCACTGTGCAGCGTGTGTGCAGTGTGTGTGCCATCACCATGCAGTGTGTGTGCCACTGTGTGTGTGTGTGTGTGTGTGTGTGCCATCACCGTGCAGTGTGTGTGCAGTGTGTGTGCAGTGTGTGTGCAGTGTGTGTGTGCCACTGTGTGTGTGCCATCACCGTGCAGTGTGTGTGTGTGTGCCATAACTGTGCAGCGTGTGTGTGCCATCACTGTGCAGTGTGTGTGCAGTGTGTGTGCCACCACCGTGCAGTGTGTGTGCAGTGTGTGTGCCATCACTGTGCAGTGTGTGTGCCCCTGTGTGTGCTGTCACCGTGCAGTGTGTGCCGTCACCATGCCATCACAGTGCCATCACTGTGCACTGCGTGTGTGCCCCTCTGTGCAGTGTGTGTGCCATCACCGTGCAGTGTGTGTGCCACTGTGTGTGCCGTCACTGTGCAGTGTGTGTGCCACTGTGTGTGCCATCACTGTGCAGTGTGTGTGCCATCACTGTGCACTGTGTGTGTGCCCCTCTGTGCAGTGTGTGTGCCACTGTGTGTACTGTCACCGTGCCGTCACTGTGCCGTCACCGTGCAGTGTGTGTGTGCCATCACCGTGCCATCGCTGTGCAGTGTGTGTGTGCCCATCACCATGCAGTGTGTGTGTGCCCCTCTGTGCAGTGTGTGTGCAGTGTGTGCTGTCACCGTGCCGTCACTGTGCAGTGTGTGTGTGCCCTGTGCAGTGTGTGTGTGTCACCACCATGCCATCACCACGCCACCACCGTGCCACCACCGTGCCGTCACCGTGCAGTGTGTGTGTGCCACCACCGTGCCATCACCACGCCACCACCGTGCCACCACCGTGCCGTCACCGTGCAGTGTGTGTGTGCCACCACCGTGCCGTCGCCGTGCCCGTGCCCTCCCGCCCCAGGGCAGCGCAGCTCCGTTCGCAGGAGCCGGGCAGCCGGGGCACCGTGGGCACTGCTGAAGTTGTGCTGGAGCCACCAGGCAGGAGGGTGGCAGGAGGGTGGCAGCAGGGTGGCAGGAGGGTGGCAGCAGGGTGGCAGCAGGGTGGCAGCAGGCCGCTCTCCACTCCGGTTCTCATCCCACAGCAAGGCCGGGCACTCCCTACCGAGATCCAAAGGGAAACTGAGGCACCAGGAGCCTCTTGGATAATGTCACAATACCTGCAAAGCCTCTGGTGATACAGAGTGGAGTTTGCAGAAAATAAGAAATGTGGACAGTTTCTCCATGTGGAGATATTTATATAAACTAAATATTTTAATGTATTGTGACTAAACATCTGTTCAAAATTGCAATTTAACCAAATCATCCAGAAAGGAGGAACTGGCCCATACTGAGGAATTCTACTGAATATATATTTTACAGCTTGGATGAGCCAGCTTGAAGTGGCTCTTTCATGCTGTAAAACTGTTCCCTGTTGTGCTCTCCTCCTTCAAAACACAATTTAGAACATGTTCAGCCAAAGAGAAATAGAAGATAACTATTTTAGGAGGAGACGTGGACCTGTTCAACAACTAAGTGTCATAGTGTGTGGGTGGATGAGAAGCTCTAAGTTAGTGGAAAGAAGAAAACCAAGTACCAACCAATGACAAAAAATCTTGTTAACCTCAGAACTCTGTGAATTCCTGAGTGTGGCAGCCAGCTTCTTTCTCAGGGGTCACTGTGGGTTTGCTGCCTGGGGCAGTGGGTGAGGGGTCGGTGGAGGGCCCTTGAACACTTCCTTGCATGCCCAAACTGGCTTTTCCCTCACATCTGGAAGGTAAAAGCTCTGTAGAGGCCCTGCAAAGAAATCTTAATGGAGCTTCTGCTTCTCTGACAGTATCTTGGAAGAGAAGTATTTCTGCTGTGCCTTAATGTAGGGAGAAAATTGGTGTAAATATGTATATATATAGATACACATAACTCATCCAGAGCACAGCAGGGCTTCTCAGGCACTCCCGGTGCTTCAGGCAGTTCCTCCCAGGAGGGGCCAGAGCCCTGCAGGCTCTCCATCCTCCTCCCTGCACGGGAGGCTGTGCTGTCTGTGCCTGCAGCTCCTTCCCAGCAGGGCTGCGAGCAGCAGCAGCAGCGCAGCCAACAGGTGCAGCAGCAGGGAGAGCAGTGCCGGGCTGCTCCGGCTGCAATGCATCCCTGCAATTTCTGCTGCAGGCTTCGCAGGAGCTTTCCTGGCTGAAAGAATGATGGGGGGGTTGCTGTGTGGTCAGAGCCCCTCCCTGCCTCTGTAGCTCTCCCCTGGATCACCCCGAATGCTGCTTGGATAAAAGCCTGGAAGAGGTGGGGTGGGAGGGCTGCTGCAGGGCTGGGGGGATGCACGGAGCCCTGCAGGAGTCCAGGGCAGCTGCAGCCCTGCCTCTGCCTTCCTGCAGCCAGGGCTGGTGCAGGTGCAGCCACGCTGAGCCTGTGCCTGGCCACGGCTCCTGCTGGTCCCACAGCACGTCTGGGTGGGCTCAGGAGCTCCAGTGGGGCAGGAGGCCTCACCAGCCCCTCCGGGAGCACTGCAGGATGAACTGGGCAGGGAGGGCAGCTGCAGCCTGGGTTCAGTGTCTGGCCCTGCCCGGGGCTCCGTGGGACCTGCTGGAGGGCCTTGGGTTAAACTGGGGGGTGAGGAGCACCAGCCATGGCTGGGCAGCAGCAGGGCAGAGCCCACCCTGAGCATGCAGAGCCCACCCTGAGCATGCAGAGCCCACCCTGAGCAGGATGGAGCAGGGCAGAGCCCACCCTGGGCAGGGCAGAGCCACCCTGGGCAGGGCAGAGCCCACCCTGAGCAGGATGGAGCAGGGCAGAGCCCACCCTGGGAAGGGCAGAGCCACCCTGAGCAGGATGGAGCAGGAGGTGCCTCGGGCTGGGCTCTTTCCTGTTCCATCTCTGCTCTTTGCCTTCACCCCATCCATGGGCAGGAGTGCCAGTGGCACTGCCCTCTGTGCCCACATCCCTGTGCCCGTGTCCCACCCCCAGCACTGCCAAGGGCTGCCCAGGCAGGTTTGGGGCAGGGGGCAGCTGTGCCCAGCCCAAATTGGGCACTGAGGCTGCAGGGGGATCAGCCTGGGGCTGCCTCTGGCCCTGCAGCACCACTGGAGTGTGTCAAAGGCAGCCACTGCTTTCCAGCACAATTCTACAGCGCAGCCCAGTCATAAATTAAATATCTCTCCTAAAAATAACACCAAAATAATTTGGAAAGCTGCTTCCAAATGCACCGGGGAGTTCAGGCAGGATGTTTTTAGGCTGCTGGTTTTGCTTTGGGGAAAATGCTGTTCCTTTGCAGGGTTGAACCCCATGACAAAAGCATGGCCAGGGTGTTTCATATTTTCTGGAAGTAGAACCATGCAATACAGGGAATATCAGCACCCTGATTTCTCTTTTAGTGCTGGAAAGCTTATTTTTGTGCTCCCTGCAGACTTCCCATGACAGGCTTTAATAATGAGCAAATTACTG